TCTATTCAGGAAAAAAAAACATAGCAGAGTTTAATAAAACTGATGACACTTGAAGGGATTTAGTGTATGTTTTTTTTAATCAAATCGACATTATTTTTATTTGAGTCCGAATATGTAATGTTTACATACTATGTACTTTAGATTGGGTCGGACGCTATACGAAAAAAGCTTTTAATAACTCAACTTGCTTTGAAATGTGGAAAAAATGTCTGAGGGCCATCTGCTCAATGAAGTATAAATGTCTTTCCGAGATTTGAGGCAACTTGAGTTTTGAGCTTCGAAGCATCCCAATTAAATTGTTGCTGAGCAAAATATTCACCCAGTTTCTGACGATGACCGAAGCTGGATCGGTCAGATGTTTTATCTGGCAAACTCGAATGACATGACCCCACTATCTTCGATATAGACTCCAGATCTAGATCTATTAATTCGCTACTCAATCAATCTCTCCTAACATTTCAGGATGAAATACATCGACCTAAAGCTCTTAGGGCTAGTATATGCAGTCATCTTACCAACTTTGGGGATAAAAACCACATCAACTAGTCTCCTTGATTGGGGGTAAGTAGTTAATACTGTCGGGTGTGGAGAGCGTGTAACCATCAACTGATTTACAGAGAAATTAGTCTTTAACAGAACTGAAATATGATTACTCCTTGTCCGCAAAGAAACCATAAAGGCCTCTTGTGTAAACCCAGCTTAATGATTTGGTCTTTCAAACGGACTTTCAGAAGCGTAGCTGTTTGACTCAAGGTATGAATATCACTTCAGTATTCTTTACACGGAGCCCTCTTCGATGAACGAACGATGAACCCGATGGTTTCAGCAGAGGAAGAGCGAGGCCCCCACTACGATGGAAATAGGGTGACCAGATGAGTCGAAAGAAAAATCAGGACACCTCATTTCTGAAAGTTAGCACAATACTTTCTTCCCCATCAGACTTGAGTTTTGAAATTATTGTTTTTACATTCCATAGTAAGAGTTGATAGTTCTCAGTTGAGAATTGTGCACACCAAACTCTTGTGGCCAGAGTTGAGCCTGAAAAGATCACAAGAGCTTCTATATTTGAAAAGGAGAGAAATGCCGTTAGACATGATAATACTTAACGGCCACATAATTTTAAGCGGCACGCATAGAGGCTAGGAGTGCCCCACAACGACTTTTGTAGAAGCAGTTTTGATGAGGAAGAGTCTGAAATGATCAGGCAGTTACTCATATTCGCTGACTCCACAAACTGGTTTAAGAAATAGAGGTTTTTGAGATCTCTGTGATATCACAAAGGGCTCATTTTCAGGTCTATGTGTGCTGGCAAGTTGACCAGCAGCCGCATAAACTGAACCTAACTTTCATCTATCCAAAAAAAAAGTTTGCAGAAAAGTCGTAAATTTTCTTAAAAACGGAAACTCCAATTTTTTGTTTAATTAATTTTTGGTTTAATAGCATCTTCAAGATGGGTTTCATTTGTAAAAAAAAAGCATTTCATATTTTCGAAAATTAGTTTAATATATTTTTTAGAACTCAAACTTTGAAATCCGCGACATTTCCAGTACATTTTGTTTTTTTTTTTTAATTATCGTCTTTGCTCCTCTTGTAAAATAATGTACAGTTGAACTCTCAGCTTTTGATTAGACATTCCACCTTTGCGAAAATTTTTGAAGTATCGCGTACATCAGTTTTAGAAAAGCTTCACTCGAACCCACATAATGTCACTTTCTTTTGCAAAATAATCAGTCAGACAGCAAACAAAAGAAAAAAATCAATTTTAATGTCGTTTCATATACATACATATGTTTTTGTTGCACTGTCTGGAGAGCATGTCAAGCCGTTTAAGAATATGAAGAAAAGGTGTAGATAAACTTTGTGTTTGTTCTTTTCATTACTTAAGGTCAGGGAAAACTTTATTTTTTTAGTAAAAAAGGTGAAAGCTCATGAAAGATCTTTGTA